CTGGTAAATTTATTCAAAGTGTTTAATGTTTTTGGCTTATTTAAAATTAAATTTTGTCTATATACTGATATTTAATTGACAGTGACGACTAATGAAGATATTAATAAAAAATCGAAGAATACAATAATATTAGAAGATCAAGAAAAGGTTTATTTTATTATAGGTGAATATGACAAATAATTATATTCAAAAGCATGATAGCTAAATTCAGAACTTAGTACAATAGTTAGATTTAGATCAGAAGAATCATGATTGTTATTATCATAATTTCTTCGGCCAATCTGGTTAAGTTATTGATTTGGCATAATCTGTATAATAAAATAATTAATAAAAGTTATTTTTGTATCATATAATAATTATTTATAAAAGCTATTTTTTTGTATCATATAATAATCATTTGACGATTGTCATAACCATGATTTTAAATTTTTGTTTGAATGCTTGAACTTGATGAAGTATAAACAATAATAATCCATTTAAAGACATTTTTAAATTTATTAATAAAGGCGTAGAATTATTGAATTATTAAAAAAAAACAGTGCTAGAAATAGCCAAGCCAACCTCAGAGCAAGAGAACTTAAAAACAATTATTAAATTTATTACAATAGTGCTAAAAAGAAGTAAACCCCTGCGAATCTAATTTAAAGACCTTTTGAGACTTGCTTACATTTGTACACATGAATTAGAAGTATAAACCTGAATAGACTGCCTATTTTATGAAACTAGCAAATATAAGAAAGACAACTCAAAAACCCTACATTTTAGAAGAACAGTAAGAAAATAAACTCTTTTGCTGAATAATCTTTTTTATCTTCCATTTTAATTAGTTTTCATTTTAGCAATCTTGACAAACCCTGTATTGTCATTAAAAAGAAAACTAAATAATGTAAATAAAATGATCTATTTCAAAAAATTTTAACTTTTAAGATATACTTATATAACGCTCTTGGTTTTAGCACCACTACATCACACAGCTACTCTAATATTATATAATATAAAAAACAAATAGATCTATTATTATTAGTTTGAGATTTGGGTGTGAACAAACCAAAACAATAATAGTTCTGAATTCTTTTAACATTCCTTGAAATTCATAATCTCACCTGAGTATATGTATTTTTGCTTAAAAAGCTTCAAAGCAAGAAGGTTCGGTCGTATTGTAAGTACTATATAAAATAGAATAAAAGACTATTTTTGACGGCATGATCTTTCTCGGCTTTATTTTTTTCTTGGTTAAAACTACAAATCAATAAAGTATTTGTATAGCTAAGCAATTGTATCTAGTCTTGTGAGTGCGGTTTCCTTTTAAGAAACCCTGAAAATGGTGATTAAAAAAAGCCTACTGTTGCAATTTATACAATTTACTATTAAAAATAGGCATGTCGATCACTCAAATTTCATATTAAAAATTTTACCCCAGTGATCTGTGTGACAAATCGTGTGACTGATATAAACCTCCTTTTAGAATATTCTGGAACATTGTACTTGACCTTTTCTCATAACTATATATTCTCAGAATATTTCGAAATAACATACAAGTAGCATGCCCTAATTGACTATTTGAGTATTGGGCATGCCTATGGCATGCTACTATTAACATGCCATGGTGGCATGCCTGTGACCTCCATGCCACTTACTCTAGCTATGACGTAGAGGTCATACTATCCAAGGTTATATTGCCTTGAGATAGTTGTCGTGAGTGATGTAGTATGCCGTATAGCATTATTACTCTGAAAAATTTCACTGGCCAATCAAATTTCAGTAAATACACAAAATCGTACAAGATGGTTCATGTGCTTTACACATAGTGTTTGGAACCATATCAGGTAAATTAGATATCCGGATTGAAGTCATCACTACTCGGATAAGCATGAGTAGATCAATCCGTCGGGTGATCTGTTAATTCATATTATTTTTAGGTATATGCAACATTATAGTATTAATTAACTGGTTCTGTAGTTTTAAAACCCATCGTTTTATTACAGCTGTTCTTATAAATTCTAGGACAAAGAAAGATTTCTGATAACCGAATCCGATAAGTTTCTAAGTTTAACCAAAGTTAGTTATCTATTGATTCCAATTCTGTAACTTATTGAATTATCATATTCGACAAGTTGTAAGTATGTATAGTGCAAGAAATAAAGAACCTCGATTTCAATTTTTGGGAACACCTAATAAAAATTAGTCGAATGTTTTTTCAACCAGTTCGATTAAGTTTATAAATTCAGCATGATCTATATAATAAAAGCTATTTTTGTATTATAATGATTATTTTATGATCTTTATTTCAAATGATTAAACACACCCCAGTGCCAAATGAAAGGATCACCCCTAATAGACTTAATTCATTCTTTCTACCATATAGCCTCGGAATAATGCCCACCTGCGCATTAATTAATTGACCTGCACGTTATTTCAAGTACGCCCATGTGTGTTATTTTGAAATAGGAGTTGATTTTCCCGGTCTAATATTTTTTTTAAAATAATACGCATGTGCGCCTTATATATAGTGCTACCTAACCTGCTGATAATGTTTCAAACATGCTAACTTTTTAGTCGATAGTGATAGATTCTTATTGTACATTATGCATTGTTTGTATCAAGTCAAACTGATTATGTGATAAGATAATTCTATATAAATATACTAAACTTTAAAAAAGTACCGTAAGTGATTCCAATTTTTTTTTTTTGATTTGTCGGATTATATTTTTTTATTTTTTTTCCCTATACAGTTCTTAGTTCTTAGTTTACTATGAACATGGAACACTATAAATGAACCAACTTTTTTCTTATCAATTAAAGATTATAGTTTCAATGACTCATTGGTTAATTTTTTTTTCTGAACCTTTTTTTTTTCTTTGATCTTTCCAGATTTTTTTTTTTTTTTTTTGATCCTTTGGATCATTTTTTTTTTTTATAATTTTTTCTTCAATCTTATATGTCACAATACCGCTATCAAAATTATGCCCTGGTACTTTGTCACGAAACTGCTATTAAAATGATGCTCTGGTACTAGATCACAAAACCGCCACTAAAATAATGCCCTGGCACTAGATTACGAAACTGCCATTAAAATAATGACCTGGCCCTGATACTATTTAAATAGACATGATCTGTTTTTTTTTCTTGCTTTGTGTTCAAATTTTACCTGCAAACATGGAGAATAAACAAAGCTATACTATTTCGTTTAAGCTTGATGTAATAAAATATGTTGAGAAAACTTTCAACTATAAGGTATCTTTGTTCTATCAAGTCGATCAAAAATGCTTCCAAGAATGGAGAAAGCAAAAAAAAGAATTTGAGATTATCAAAAATAATCAAAACTTAAGTATTGAGAAGGTACAAACTCTGGCCGCAGTTGAAAAGCCATGTATCTCGCAGTTGAAAAAGAATTAGTAAATTATGTTTAAAAAAAATGGGAAGAAAGGATGGTAGTTACTACTTCTATAATTGAAAAAAAGGTGAAAGAGTTAGGGAAAGCACTAGATATTCAAGATGCAAAGTTCTCTGCTAGTTGGGTTAAATGTTTCATGTGATGGAATAAATTGGTAGAATGAGTTCGAACACAACAAGCATAAAAGCTTCCAGAAGATATACCTATAGTTGTTAGAGAATTTCTTCAAACTTTGCGTGAAAAAACAAAAGACATTGAAAAAAAATTTATAATTTCTTTTAATGAAACGCCAATGTGGTTTGACATGCCCTAAAATACAACAATCGATTTTAAAGATGTTCGAGAAGTATCAATTAAAACTACGGGGAATGAGAAATTACGTTTTACAGTAGTCCTGGGCTATACTGCATCAGGAGAAAAACTTCCGCCTGCTGTAATTTTCAAATTAAAAAAAAAACCAAAAGGGCAAATTTCCACAAGACATGGTGGTAACCATGGCACCTTGTGCAAATATGATAGGTGATTTGATAATCTCCACTTATATTCCACAAGTTATTTGAGCCAGACTGAATGGGTTCTTTAAAAGTAAAGATATAATTTTTGTTGATCACCACCGCAATCATGTTCGTGATGATGTAATCAAAGCATTAAAGATGGTAGAGTTATAGTTTTGTTTTTATAATAGAGTTAAAATCAATATTAGGCAATTAGAATGTTGAATTTATAGATTCTAATTAGAATATTTAAGTTCAATTCTAATTCAAATTACTAGATTTGTAAGGATAATTTTTTTAAATTAAAATTTTTTTGTTTAGGAAGGCTTAGACGTCCTAGAGATACCTGGTAGAACTACTTGCGTTTTGCAACTACCTGATATATCAGTAAACAAGCCATTTAAAAATAGCATGATGCAAAGGTAGGAAAAATGGATAGACGAAGGAAAAGGCAGATTTACTAAAAAAGGAAACCTCAAAAGAGCATTATACGAATTGGTATGTGAATAGGTATCTGAAACATTAGTACAGATATTTTGGCTAGGTCTTTTGAAGCATTCGGGCTTATACTTAACCCCGATGGCAATGAAGATGACAAGATAACAAGCCGCCTGCAAGCTATTATTGCAAACCATTTAAATAAGTGTGTTTTTCTGAGGAAGAAGATAATGAATCATCAAATCAGGATGATGTAGATAATGAATCAAATCCTGATGAACTTGATGATGAACTTTATGATAAAAGCGTAACAGATAATGACTCTGAAGATATGATGAACATTGATAATTAATAAGGTAATAAAAATTACTAAATAATAGATCATTAGAAAGAAAGAAAATTTTAACTTCCATTTATTAATAGTGCATTATACAAAAATAGAATTTATTAGCAAATGAATAAAGGTCTCTATTTATTATAATAGTGCGATGCTTTTTTTCTTTATAAAAAAAAAATTTAGATGATTTTTTCTTTTTTTTTTCTTTACTTTTTTTTTTTCTTTTTCTGTTATATTTTCATTTAAAGAGTTATTAGGGTAAATATAATTAAAGCTGGACTGAGCAATAAGATTATTGCAAACTGAGATGATATAAATAAACCTATATACTGGTAATGCTTAATATATGATGTCATTTATAATAAAAAATTTAGATTTGGAATTAAACATAAAACATATATTTATTGCTGAAGTTTGGGATAAATTTTTTTACTGGTAATTAATTTTCAACGTTTGTTACTGATGATCGGCCTATAAAAAAATTTGTACTGTTATTGTCCAAAAAAATGTTCGGAATGGAGTCAATTTTCTGACATTTATATAGGACATAAGAAATAGAAATTTTTGATTGAAAATTATTGTATAAAAAACGCATTCATCTAATAAAAATCCTTTAAATAAGTCGATTTTCTAAACAAAAAATCGAATAATTTCAGAATTTTCCGAACAATTCCAAGGAATTTTTTCTTATAAGGTCGTTATTAAGACTTTTAGAGAAGTAAAGATCAAATTTTAATGTATAGATACCTAGGTACGTATTTAATTTGTTGCTTCTGTGATTTAAGCATATTCATACTATGAGATATAATTTTTTAATATGAGAGTGCGTGTTAATTCGAGACGCCCATGGGCATTAATTTGAAATCATATATGCTATTTTGGGAATCTGATTTTCAAAATAACGCTCATGAGCGTTATTCCGAGGCTATACGGTAATTTTTTTTTCAACTATTTGCTAGCGAAAGTAGCCTTATGTATATGAGAGCCATCAAGGAAAAACCTGTTATTGTCTTTCAATTATATTTGTATTTGACAAAATCTAATTTATTAGGAATTGTGCCTGGTACAAAATATAATTGAAAGCCTGATAAAAAGTTTATCTCTTGGCGGCACTCACATATTCAATTTATTGAATCTATTATTTCAAAATCACAAACTTAACTGAATCAGCAGATAAATCGTTCGGCCAATTTTTATTAAATGTCTCGGGAATTATGATAATAGCTATAAATAAATGAGTATAAATATTACAAATTGAAATATCACAAATATTGTAATTGAAGCTGAAATCCGGATTAAATATTAATTTTATTTAGACAAATTCAGCTAGAAGAATTGTCAGAAGAAATCAGGTATCAATAAACAAGATAATCGCAGATACAAGGTTATGTCTAAAGTATTATGCACGATGTATTGATGATGTATTAGGATTGTTAATGAAAATCAAATATGAAAAATAACTAATATTCCTTTGAATATTCTAATTAAGATTGTGTATTTCTAAAATGAATCATTATGAGACATAAGTTTATATATTCTACTATCTGGATAGAGATGTTAAGTGGTGTGTCTGGTGCAGTCCGGTCCCAGTCCCTAAAAAGTCTGAGTCTGAACTAGTTAAGAGATTAGTTCACTCCCCTGTCAAAAAAATTAAAAAACTGGTTCTACTCTACGGTTTAATGTATTGTTTTAATTGTTGCAGAATTGCTAATTACATAGATTGTATTAAATTCGTTTTGTATTGTAATCATATTTATTTAAAATCAACATAAATTAGCCAATTAGATGATCTTGAGATCACAAGATTATAGGACTAGTTTTTGGACCAGTCCTGTACTAGTCCCTAAAAAGTCTGGTCTGGACCAGTTATGAACCTGTTTCCCATAGACCACTTAATATCCCTATATCTGGATAATCCAGATTAAGGATGGGAACGGGCCGGGCTCAGGCCTAATTTGGGCCCACATTTTGGACCTGTTAATTTTTGGGCTGGGCCCATGTTAGGCCCATTTAAATATCGGGCCAGGTACAGGCCCTGTGATCAGGCCCGCCAGGCCTAACAGGCCTATTATATATGCTATTGGCACTGCTAATCCCTTTTAAAATCGTTTATCCAAACTGTCCAAAACCATTATTTGAGTATTCAAGTTATACTACGTATGTAGACGAAAATTTGATCAATGGTATTTAAAGTTGGCTTGATAATGAAGACTTTAATTTACTGTAATTGATTATTATAAATTATTCGAACTGCATATTGTAAACATTATTTATTTGGTTCTTAGAAAATTTCTAGCAATTTTTGTGCCTTTCTAAAACTAATCTTTGAAGATTCAACCTGCTAAGTCAAACTAGAGAACCTTCTAAGCATTATACCAATTATGTATCAATGAACCTGATAGTAGGCTTTTCTTGATAGTGCTCATATATACCAGGTGTTTCTATACACAGATCCTTTTTTTTAAAAAGTGACTTATATTTAAAGATCACAATAATTATTTATTCAAAACTTAAAAAAAAGGGACCGTGTATAGGAACTTTTGGATAGTAATTGCACAATTCCAAAGTTACAACTTCGGAAGCTTAAATAGAATTTGTAATTACGAATAGTCAAATAATGGAATGAATGAAGGTATCTGAAGATTTCCATTTTATGAAAATTTATATTTGTACATTAGTTTAAATCGTAAATAAAATTTATTCAAAAACAAATATGTCAAATCTTTAATTGAAAATAAATAAAATTGTTTATAATTTATTTCAAAAAAAAAGAAACACCTACTAATGCCAATATTCTTTAATAATTTGAAAAAAAAGTAATTGAAAATTTTTCAAATATAAACAACCTCATTTGATTTATGAAGTAATTTAAGTGCAGCAAATAAAATCATCGATTTGTCTTATACTATTCTTTAGTCTGTCCAACCTTGCTCTTTTGTACTTATTAGCCAATCTTGACCACATATTAATATTTTAACAGTTTTTGGAGTTAGGTTTGATTGATAGTTAGGCCAGACCAATTTAATTCTTCATTTAACATAACCCTCTCTCATCTATTTTTCAAAATTTATATAAACCCAATACACATTAATAATAATTAATAGTATTTACCCCCTCTTAATTTTTTAAATTTTATATAATCAACACATGTTAAATTAACCAATAAAATTACAGTATTATTATTTTTGTATTTTTTTGTTCTCTCCTCCCCACTTCTATAAATTATTTAATGTTATGTTAAACGAAGAATCAATTTGAAGTGGTCTTATCAATAATTCTTTCTGCAGTACTAAATACCTAATTAATATAATATGAGTTAGCTTGTATTATATAAAACAAGCAACTATATCTTTGCTTACTAATTCTGAAGCTACAGATATAATTGGAATGCCAAGAATGTCTCTTGCTATGAACGCCACAGAAGGATACATCAGTGCATTTTCTTTTCACCAAGCTAAAATATCAAATGATTTTGATGAACGAAGACGAAGCAGATCTGCAAGATATTTCTCAAACTCATTTATTTCATTAGCAATATTATTATGATTATTTGCAAGAAATCGATTGAAGTCTTTCATTAATTCGTCTTCCTGAGAAATAATATCAGAAAAATTATATCTGTTAGTAGCAACTGCATTTTGCAGATACATTGTTCTATAAATTATCATAACACTATATGATAGTAAATGAGTATATCAAAAAAAAACCTGAAAATCAGTTTTTTAATTTTCATTAAACAGTTTATATAAAAACTCTCTTGATATAGTAAATTTACTTAAAATTTTCAATATATAGTAAAACCTCCATAAGTGCACCTTCTATAAGTATACATACTCTCTAAATGCACGCTCAAGTTTTGGCCCAAATATATATGTGTTTTCTATAAATACACTTTTTCTTATTGATCTTTAAATGCACATTGTTAGAGCTTGGTTCTAAGAGTGTATACTTATAGAGGTTTTATTGTAGTAAAGAAATTTCACAGCCTAATTACTTCACTACAACAAGAGCAACTTGTATATTGCAATGAGAAATAGTCCAAGTCAATTTATCCAAATCAGCTAGATTTATCAAATATACTATATCAATATATAATAGAGAAAAATTAATTAGTAATGAAAATATATAAAAACTTAAACTACTATATTATTTTGCACACTCTCTCTAAATGCATATTCAAGTTCTGGCCCAAATATATATGTGTCTTCTATAAATGCACTTACTCTTATTGATCTTTAAGTGCATGTTGTTAAAGCTTGTTTCTAAGAGTATACACCTATAGAGGTTTTACTATATACTACAGTTTAATAGTATGCATTTTAAAGAGAGTTTAAATACAAAAAACGTTTCAGGGTAATATGAAAATTAAAATTTAGATTTACAGGTTTTTTTTCTTAGCAGCACTCGAATAATTAATGAATTAGCAAAGTATAATATTTTATCTTTGAAAATAATATTTAAAACAACCTACTTTGTTTTAATAAGATTTAACTTGTCCTCTTTTTCAGTGTTAGACAAGTTTATTTTCTGCTTATACAAGTAAGTTAAAAGCACCATTTTGTAATGAGGATCTATTATCAATGCAATACAATAAGTGATTTCCACATCTGACCAATACTTATCAAACTTGAATTGTATTAGTACAACTATTTGATATATAAAAGGATTCGTGTTGGTAGCATTTCATTCAAGATGCATCTTGATTTTCACCAAATGAGGAAGAAAAATATTTGATCTTGAATAATTACTTCCTGATATAATATTTGTGACTATATTAATATTAAAGTAAAACTTAATTATTATACAACTTATATTTAGTAAAATATACAGTACCATACTAATTAATTCTTAATCGATTAATTTAATAAGTTCTCTAATCATTATTTAAAACATGCATATTTAAATCAATTAAAGAACAAAGGTTACCTGAATTAGCACAAAAGTAGCAATAGCACAAACAATTTTGCTAGCACTATTAAAATTCATTAGCTCTAAACAAAATATCTATCAGATAT